ATAGGACCGAGTCAGATCAATTTTTTTGGATGGAGACCGGGTCAGATGCTCAATCTACACAAATCAAACATTCTGACCGGACCGAGTAAGACAAAAATGTCTGACCAGACCGGGTCAACGCCAAATCAAACAGGCCCTTAATGTGTTTGCCAAAAGAAATATGTATAAATATTATTTTTAATGCTCACAACTTATATTTTAATATGCCAAATACCCACTTCATTTAAGGTATTCTACAATAAGAAATTACTCAAGTTAAAGATAATTAAATAATTAAAGAAAAAAAAGGGAAAAAAGACGTTTTCACCATGTCGTTTCTTTTCCCGCTTCACAGCATACGTTAATACGCATAATTGTACAAATCGAAAATCACCGACCAACAATTCAACTCCTAATAGAGTGCATGTTGAGTGTTGCTACCGCCCAAAACCGTTTGTGGACCCTCAGTCGCCGCCGACAACAGCTTCCTCAGTGACATACAGTAGGTTTTTTTTCATTCAAGGGCGAGTATCTTTTAATACGACTCGACCTGGACCCCAACGAATACTTATTGATTTTTTTTTATCTATTGGTTTCACTTATAAAGTGAACCACATGATTTTACGTTATAGAATCGCCACTGAATACAAAATGTTTATTGTCACTGTTTTTTTTTTCAACAACTAAATGACACATTTTATGTCGTTTTATTGTAATCTAGTTCGATTTTTTTCTTAATTTTAGTAAAAAACCGAATCATCTTCTAAAATTTAATATTTTTTCTTCGTATTTCGGGCATTTTCTTGAAATTTCAAGAAAAAAATATCTCTCAAAATCCTAAATTGGAAATGTATTTTTCTCATATTAATAAATATATTATTGATATAAAGTTAGTTCGAAACAAATTAATTAATATTTCGAAAATGGCTCTATAACTATAAAATGCTTATTTTTTTAATTTGAAAATCATATGGTCATTTTCTTTTAATATCTATTAGAAACAAATTAATTCCTGAAAAAATTACAAATTTAGCCATTTTTTCTAATGCATTTTCATTTTAATAGCCAAAAATTAACCTTTTTATTATATAAAATAGTCACTGAAACCGCAGATGATTCTACCTCATATGCAATTCCGTCACCTCGTCTTTGGTTTCGTCATATGCAGCAAAACATGCCTTCAGTTTTGTCACCTCATTTGCGGTTTCGTCACCTTGTCTTCAATTTCGTCTTCCACTATTAAAAAAAACAAAAAACAAAACAAAAAACAAAAAACAAAAAACAAAACAAAAACAAAACAAAAAAAATCATTTTTTAGTTGAAATCGTAGATGACACTGCCTCATCTGCGATCTCCTCTCCACTCGTCTTCGGTCTCTTTCATCGTTCGTGGGTTTCGATGACGAAACCACATATTGGTATATGCCTCATCTCCAGCTTCATAGACTCGTCTTTGGTTTCGTTCTTCGTGTTTATTTTTTTTCAAGACAAATTGACATAGTAGTTTTGTAACACCCGGTCCTTGCAGGTAAATTTCTCTTCTATGTTTGTTAAGTGTAAGTATTGAGTTTTGATCTATGCAGGGCATAGATAGCCTTCTACACGCTGCATAGATGGAAACTTGGAGACTGGTCTTTAATGATCTATGCAGGCCGTAGATCTTAAGTACGTGGGGGCGTACGTAGCCCGAGTCCAAACCTTAATTTCGGGGTTTTGAGCCATATTTAAGGACCTTAACCTTCATGAAACCCTTCCATTCTCAGCCTCCATTTCCCCAAACATCTCCCTTGAAATCCTAACTCCATTTTGGTGCATTGTGAGCTTAAAGAATGTTCTTTGGGTGCTTTTGAAGGAAGAAGAAGGTGGTGGTGGTGCTTGGAAGCTTGAATCAACCTTGTATCTGGAAGTTATTCTCCCTCATTCATCTCCGGAAGGTATAAAGTTTGTACCTTTATGCTGCCATTTATCTAGTTTAAATGTTGAAGTTATGCCTTTTTGTCCCGTTATTTTTGGTCCATTTGAGTATGAACGACTCTAGACTTTGTTGAGTGCATTTCTAGAAGTATTTAAGAGTATTAAGTCACAAAAATGGTGTGTTGGCCTTATCCAACCATCCATGTATGAGTTTGAGATCCTTAGAAGTTGTTATAAGATTAGGGTTTGTTCTTGAGCCTTGATAAGCCATGCATGTGCATACAGTTTGGAACTTTATCACTTATGATACTTATTTAGACCAGATATGAGAGATAGACGTGATGTCTTTCTGTATTAAGCACTTAATGGAAAGTTTGGCTTTAGTGTGAGTACGTAGGGCGTACATATGGGTACGCAGCGCTTAACTCTGTGTTGTCCAGTAAAAGCCAAGCAATACTCTACGCAAGGCGTAGAGCTGGTACACAGGGCGTACTAAGTCTGGATGTGGACCTTTAACTTTTTGACCGTTGACTTTGACCAAGTTTGACTTTAGGTCATTTGGGGTAAATTGAATAGTAGATTGACACTGTGTCCCTGTTTATTATATAAGTGACATGTAGAGACGGTGTTTGTAGCAGTGATCAGTTCAACTATCTTTCATACTGTAAGGTGAGTTTTCCTCACTATACTCGTGGGTCGAAGGCACCAATGTCGGCCCACTAGATTATGTATCATGGGTTATATGATAATGTTATGTTGGATATATGTTAGACTGGTAGATCTGTATGATTACATGTGATTCACTGGTTATATGTTAGACTGGTAGATCTGTACGATTACCTATACTTGCTGGTTTTGGATTATTATTGCATATGTCGGTATGTTATTGTTTTGCTGGGTTGAGGCAGTCCTGCTTTATGCTGAATGCCAAGATACTTGGGCGGTCCAGTTGATACTGTAGGCCCAAGGGAGCGGTCCAGCTAGTAGCTGAAGGGTTGGTGGCGGTCCAGCCTAGTGTTGCAAGCCTGGTTGCATGCATTGTATTATGTTGTTGTGTGTGGGACTTACAGGTTGATTTTTTTATGGTTTTAGGTACATCAGAGGACAGAGGCAAGGTAAAGACGTAGCACATCATTCTGGACATTTATTTGACTTATGATTTTTGGATACTCTAGTTTATACTTATGGTTTTGGAAACCCTGTTTTGTGTGAATTATGGTTTTTGAGATGGTTTTAAAAATGAAAATTTTATCATGATTTTTGGGATGTTACAAGTATACCGAATGAGATAGTTAATTATTAAGTTAATTTGTCTTTAAAAAAAATCAGCACAAAGAACGAAACCGAAGACGAGTCTATGTAACCGAAGATGAGGCATATATCAATTTGTGGTTTCATCATCGAAACCCAGGAACGATGAGCGAAACCGAAGGCGAGTGGAGTGGAAACCGCAAATGAGGTAGCATGGTCTGCGAATTTCAACTAAAAAATGATTTTTTTTTTGTTTTACTAGTGGAAGACAAAGTGACAAAACCGCAGATGATGTGACGAAATCGAAGACGTTTTTTTACCACTTATGACGAAACCGAAGACGAGGTGACGAAACCACATATAAAAAGATTAGTTTTTGGCTATTAAATAAAAAGTCATTAGAAAATAGCTAAATTTGTAATTCTCTCTATTTTTTACATGCAATTAGTTATTTATCTATATTTTCATTTTCTTTGATGACTATGGAACTTCTATAAGATAACGATGCCACGACAAAGTAAACGATATGTGTGCACACCACTGAATTTTGTACGTGGAAAATAGTTGTACCATAGATTAAGTAAAATAATGATATTTGATATAACAACTGTCAATTGTCAATTGTAATAGAAGCTTTCATTGTCGGTCAATTAACCACTACAGTTGTAAAATTTATTAATTTAGGAGCCAGCCACTTGTAGTCTAGTCGCGTGGGGAATGAGAATTGCCAATAAAACAGGAATCACTCTGACTATAAATAATGTGCGCATTTGGACCACAAGTCTCGTCCATACCAATGGTCTACATTCCTCTTCACTTCACTTCACCAACAATAGATTTTGATTTTGATTTTATGAATTGTGATTACCCTACAAGGTAAGGTCTATTATATTTCCATCGAATCTTATTGATACGGAGAGAAGGTTGTATATATATAATAACACATTTGTAAAGGTGATCTTTAATAGAGATACAAACAAATTTCGATGAATCATTGGCAACCTTGTTTTTAACAAAATAAAAATCTAGTTCAATCTACATCACTCGTGAAAACTAGGTCTGTGTTGAGTTTGGGAAACCCTACTTTATGAGAGAAGTGATCATGTCAAATATTAGTTCAGTTTAAACAAATTCACGGGTTGCATAAAACAAAGAGAATCTTACGATATAATCTTTCTAACGGTTTACAAAAAAATCGAATTTCAAACAAACATCATTAAGACCAGGTAAAAATAAATAGCATAGTCGACGAATTAAATTAAATTGGGCCAAGATTAATACAAGCCAACTTTATTATGGATCAAGTTTTAATATCGTTACATCCTAGAGGTGCACAAAAGAGGATAAAAAGTTAAAAACCATCTTATTTAAAATCCGATTCGGATTTTATTTGAAACAGTAAAACCGGTTTAGCCAACTGGATGATTTTTGTACCGGGTCTGGCAATGAAATTATGTATCCGATGGTATCGGTTCAAAACCGGTTTTTCCAAAATGGCATTTGAGATTATTTGGCTTTTTGAATAATGTTTTTGCAAATTAACTTGAAACTTCAATCTTATACATATTTGTTGATTATAAATAAAGAAAATAAAAATAGAAACAAAAATACAATAACATAAAAGTGATAAAACTAGCAAACGAAATACCATTTTTATAAATAGACTAAATCGACGACATGTTTGATTATAATGGTTCATCAAAGGAGCCAAATCATCCATCATGATATATATATATATATATATATAATATATATATATATATATATATATATATATATATATATATTATATATATATATATATATATGATAATTCAGATAAACCAATTAACTAAAGTTGAGTTACAACTTACAAGGAGCCAAATCATCCATCATGATAAAGGAGTTGGCCTAAGGGTTAAATACAAAAAATTTAACCCTTTTAACCTATTTAACCAATCCATATATATCATACTCTCATCTAACCTTTTAACCTAAAACACTACTCTTTTTTATTATTTTACATAAAATGGTAAAACTAGCAAGTGTGTAACATTAAATGATAAAAATAGTACATTGCACTCAGTGAGAAAACTCGCTCCTCCTAGGATATGCCCAAAGCTTGGGGGCAAAATCGTCATATGAATCACAATCACTATCATTATCACTGTCTGATGAAGCATACTCACCATCTATGTACTCAACAATCTGCCAAAAAAAATATCATATTTTCTTTATATTACTTAAGTTTCCATTCTCCCATTCATAACTCATCATCAAAAAATCATCTTCCAAACACACCACAAGATGACTAGATAAATTGGAAACCTCTCATGGTTAATGAAAATTTGAGATAAAAAAGATAGTTAAATTCAAGATACCTGTCGAGTAGATATTGGGTTGATTTGGTGATATTTACATTTCAGTCCAAATGTTTTGTTGTTTCCCATGTCAGTGACCCAAACAATTGCATGACAATGCTTGCAGAAGCCTCTAGAAGATGTAAGAAGCTTCTTCCATGAAAAAGCTGCAATCAAAATAAATCTAATGCGTATAAAGTTGAATGATTTCTTAAAAATATAAACTTGGGATGCTTTTGCTTACCTTCATATGCTTTTTTAAAAATATTTTTCCAGTCAAGGCTGCCCTCTTGGGTGCATTTATCATTGATTAATTCACCATGAACATGATTATTGATCTTGGAGAGAATATTTGAAGTGTTGGTATAGAGTGTCTTCCATACATGGCTATCAGTTGAAGCAATGTTCCATGAACTGAAGACATGAAGCATCTACAGGTATTATTTACATTTTCAAGAAGTTGAAATTTTAAAATCAATGAAAAGATAGAAAAAAATACCGGCAAACTTGTGAAGAAGAAAGTAAAGATTGTAAATCCAAGAAACTGAAGACATGTACAAGAACATCTTGTGGAAGTTCAACCAAATCTAGACAAAAAAAATCATGAAATGAGATTAATGTAAGAACTATTGATGCACATAAAACAAAAACCAACCTTCTTCATTGTTTCGTGCTTTGGAATGCCTCTTATGAGCAACCATAGCATGCTTGAACTCAGTTACAGCCTGAGCCTTCTTTTGCTTTGGCAATGCTGATTCCACAGCTTGAAGGAGGGTATTTGCTGCATGAATGGCGGTTTGTGTTTGCATTCTGAATTCAAGTGAATGACATTACATAATTAAATATGTATTATGATAAAACAAGCTCCATAAACAATCAAAAAGTATATAATGCCCCAAATCCAGAAATCCACTCAAACAAATTTGAACAAAATGATGTTACTTATTTGCTGCTTTTGAAATAATAGGCAACTGTGCTTATAAGTTATAACATGAGTAATCTACAAGACAATACAAATCCTCCAGAAAGTTTGTGTTTATGTGTTCCCTTCCAATTAAGTTTGAGCAAAAAAAAAGTGAACAACTACACAGGAAGGCATATAAGGTTCCATAAAACAAGAGATTTCTCTGTACTATTATGAAAAGAATAATCTAGAAGACTTGAATTTGAAACACAGTTAGTTCTAAAATTGGATTCTGAATACCAAGGAACTATTAGACAATCAATTTGTGCGTGCATATCTGCTTTTCGGAAGAAATTTCATCAAGCACCATGAAAAGTTAATATAAATATGATTAAGATTAGGGATCGAAGAAAACATACCGAGGAAGAAGGCCAAAGGCAGTGAGGACATCTTGGAGAACAAGAGATTGCAAGTTTTTGGGGAATTTAGAATAGGAGAGTTTGAGAATTAACGCAAGCTCTTTACAAGCCAACGGATACTGATAGATTCGGGAGAAGGATTGTTGAAGCCCTAATTTATGGTACCGATCCATCGGACCTTCCATTCTTCCAAATTTGTGGTAGTTTAAGAATTAGGGCAAGTTTGCATGTTGATTGTTGCGAGGGAAATAGGAAGTTGAAGCGGTTTCATTTCATCGGCCAGATTCTTTACACAATTACTTTTTGTTTCTCAAGTTAATGCCTGATCGTACCATTCATTCTTTATTTGAGATACAAATGTACTTTGAAATTAGGGATGTAAAGGGGGCGGGATGGGGTGAGTTGACCTTCCCTTTCCTCGTCCCCGAATGTCTCTTTTCCATCCATAAACATGCGGGGAATCAAATTCCACACTTTGGGTTTTTTCTGTTCTATCCCCGATATTTCAACATAATAATCTCAAATTACGTAAAAATAATTTTAAGTGTAATAAACAATCAAAACAAGTTGCCATAATTAGATTGTGTTTACATCAATCATAAAGTTTAATAAACATCAAAACAAAAAGTGATGATTTCATATATGGACCGTTTAACGAAATGACGATTGATGAACTCTTGGAATTGGAAACGTAATTTGGTATACGGACTGTGTTTTTGATGGTCTAATCCAGATCATTTCATGCTTAACGGACTTAATTAAAATTCAATAATTTATCAGTGTATATATATATATATATATATATATATATATATATATATATATATATATATATATATATATATATATATATATATATATATATAAAAGGTTGAGAATAGGGGAATCATTCTCAGCCACACTTTTATTTTGCCGCAAAACACTTAGGCGTACCGTCGGAAATTGATAACGGATAAACATGTGTTTTCCAACCAAACATGTTTCATTAAACTATGCTAAATATTACCTTAATATACACAAAAACATATATTTTTTTGTTTTTTTTTTATTTTTAGAAAGCCATTTTTATCGAAAAATTATTTTAAATATATCAAAATTCATAATTTTTTATTCTCTATAAAAAGACATCCATATTGATATAGTTTTAAGATAAAATAAAAAATTTATTTTTTTTAGAGTTTCAGCTCTCGTTATTCATAAGTGTTTACTACAGTACATTCGTTATTCATTTATGAATAAAACGTATGCTTAACTTTTTTTTTATAGTTTAAGTATCGTTCATATATGAATATGACACGTAATAAAGTTTTCTTACTTAAAATATATTTTTTTACATCATATTTTGTCATATATTATATTTATATATGAATAAAACGTGTATTAGTTGTCGTCATATTTTATATTCATATATGAATAAAATATTTATCAGATTTTTGTTACAGTTAATTTGTTATTCATAGATGAATAAGTAGTATAAATGATACTTGAACGGTAAAAAAATTAATTATATATTTTTATTCATAAGTGAATAACGAATGTACTGTAGCAAAAATCTGATGCATTTTTATTCACTTATGAATAACGATAGCTGAAAATATAAAAAAAAAATTATTTTATCTTAAAAGTATATTAATATGGATGTCTATTTGTAGAGAATAAAAAATAATGAATTTTGGTATATTTAAAATCATTTTTCAATAAAAATAGCTTCTTAAAAATTAAAAAAAAAACAAAAAAAACTATGTTTTTTTTTGTATATTAAAGTAATGATTAGCATAGTTTAAGGAAACATGTTTTGTTGGAAACACGTGTGTATTCCTTATCCATTTCCGCTGGCACAACGGAGGCTTTTGCGGCAAAAATAAATGAGTGGCTGACCCATTCTCAACCTTTTATATTTCTCAATTGAACTTACCTCTATATATATATATATATATATATATATATATATATATATATATATATATATATATATATAAACCCTCTTTTTCTCATGTCGCCAAAATTAAACTTACGAGGTTTTCCTTCCACCACGTAATCTACCTCCTAAACGACGCTATGGACATCAAAGTCGATTCACGAGAGCATGTGTCCGCTTCATCTAATTTTTGGAATTTCTTTTTTCTTTTGGACCGTCACGCATGTTGGGAGACGTTGCTTACGAACGTTTTTCTCAGCAAAGAGTGGCAATTTTCGTGTACTTAAGGAACCGATGTACTTCCCATTTTCTCTTACACATCTTAATGTCGCCTTCTCCCGTCTATGTTTATTCTGAATCAGAAATTCTTTGGAGATTGACCCGAGAATGAGACCTCGAGATAAAGTATGTTGTCGGTGTTGAAACTCCCACGTCTTCAAGTAATCGACTTTAAGTTTATCTTCACTCTCTACAAATTCATTTTATCTATTTCTGTTTTACTCAATTAATCGCAGTCGATGTTAGATTTGAAGGTGATGTGGAGGTTTTAGGGTTGATAAAATAGGTAATTGCTTTCCCTCTTTCTCTCATGCTTTGTTCTGAATTTGAAAATTCAGTAAATTCGTTGTTTTTAGCCCTACGATTTCTTGCTTTCAATCATTATTTTTTTTATATAAACTAGGGCACCAAATTTGTTACATTGCCTACAACCATGAGAAATACCTTTAAAAATGAATTACGTATGAAAAGAAAGCAGGGAAAAGAAAGTATCAAAAAAAATGAAATCAAAGATTTGGATTTTAGGGAGAGGTCAAATGCTTGACGTTGGTACTTAATAATTAATATCGTGTATTTTTATCCAATTGTTATTTGGAATTTGTTTTCTAACTTGTGGAGTTACTTGTTGAATAGATTTACAAGTTGTTTTTATCAATTGTAACAGTTAGTTAAGTATATGGTTGATGGTCATTTTGATGAACATATTTAAAAGCTATTTAATAGGAAAAAAAATTCAACGGTAGCAAAGCAAGAACTCGTGGTATTCTCGTTTTCCCTCCACTGATTGCACTCCAAATTATTAAAATGTCATTATATGTACTTTTTTTGTTAATGCATCTCTTTCTTTTGTGAATGTTGTTGTTTATGTTGAATGAGGCTATGAAAGTGCCTTTATAGTAAGTATGAGAACCACCCCATCTGATAATTATCTTTTTTTGCAATTCCAATACATTAACACACACAGTTATCTGAAATGCTCTTATATTTTTGTAGGAACTATTACATTAGTTTTGAACATAAAAATATCCCTCACCTACGATAAAAAACTAATAACTCATTTTATGGATCATTGCTTTGTACTAGGTTGTAAATTTAAGCATCCAATATTCTTTCGTACATGATAAGTGATTAGAAGCAATGGGCCAGTCTTGTTGTAACTAATAAATATCCTTCAAAACAAGTTGTAAATGTTTCCGTTAATAAATAACCTTGTATTACTTCACTTTAATTTATACTTATGATCTTTATGTCTCTTACAAAGTATATGATGTGACTAGAGATCAATGAAGAACCCCACAAAGTCTCACACTTGACAGGACAGAATGTAAGTTGTTTCGTGATTAAGGTGTGTGTTCATTATAAGTGTGTGCTTCGGATTTTTTATTACAGTATGATGGGGTGGATGATTATGATAATAGTATCTTAATTTTTGCTAATTTTAGTTAAGAGAGAAAAATAATATATATATATATATATATATATAGATATATTATTTTTTGTTATATAATATTTTGATGTGGTTTGATCCTAAGAGCATCCACAATCCATTAGAGTTCAATGGATTGTCACATCACTGCCACATCAGCATTTCACATTTTATTCAACTTTACTCTTTAACATCCACACTTTATTGAACCCAACACAGTTTAATGAAATTTCACATTTTCATCATTATATTTTTAAACATAATTATAAATTTAAAAATAAAAGATATAATAGTTAAAAAAAATACAACACTTAAAAATACATTAATTAAAAATTACGAAACCTAAAACATTTAATACCTAAACATACATTAATTAAAAACACGAAGCCTAAAAATACATTAATTAAAAAGATGACATCTACAAGTTATATTTTATCTTGACCTATTCACGACGGTTCATCCAAATTTGTCGTCCCTCCTCCGACATGCTACTTGGATCCATGAAAATGATTGACATCTCTTCATGCTTCATTTTTTCTTTTTTAATTGTATATTTCTTTTTAAGTGAGTTTTTATTTTTAAATACTTCATTTGTATTATTTATTTAAAAAAAATAAGACACCTAAAAATTGATTTATTAAATAATATAATACCTAAAAATATGGTTAATTTTATTTGTGGTTTAATTAAAAAAATATAAAAATCAAATATAAAAATATAAGAGAATATGATTACATATATATATTGTTTGACATTTAATCAAAACAGAAAAGATTAATTTCATTCAACCACTCAATGATCATACAACTCTTTCATTCAACCTTCCTCTATGTCATCACCCACACTCCATTCAACCTCTATATAATCCTAATCACCATCTATTCAACTCTTATTAAACCCCCATTGTGGATGTCGTGATTGGTATATTGTTTCTAACATCAAGATGTGTCATGAACAAATATAAGTTATTGTTTCTTGGGAGGTACAAGCTTTTTACTACTGGAATTGTTTATAAGTGAAAAATGTTGCCAATAATGGATCTGTTCATCAAGTACTAAGCCTTGCAATGTCATTTTGGATATGTTGGTACATATGATAGTCACGTTAAAAAAATTTAAACACTGCTTAATAGGAACTATTACATTAGTTCAATTTATTATGCAATTCGTGATGCTCCTTTTACTCCGTACGTAATTGGTTTTGGTAAATTGTAAAGTGATTTGAAGTTGTTATAACAAGTTTTTAATTGTTGGCTAATTTTTATTGCAAATATAACTGCACACGTGCCAATACATGTTTTGATAGATGAAAGGTCAAGTTGTTGATATACCTAAAATAAGCGTAACAAAAGGCATATTTGGGGGAAATGGTGATGGTAAAAAGGTAAATCCGAATGATTGCTGTTTTTGCAGCTTCGACATTTGATGAGTTAATGTCCATGTTTATTACAATTCGAAACATAAGAAGTCATTATGTGAATATTCATATGTATTCCAAACAACATTACTCTTACATTAAGCAAATTCGAAACATAATAAGTCATTATGTGAATATTCATATGTATTCCAAACAACATTACTCTTGCATTTAGCAAGCAATTAATTTTTATTGATTGAAGGGCAAATGTGGTCTATGTAATAGCATAAAAATACTAAATTACGCTTATAACATTTGCAAACCATGCTCGATAAATGTCTGTGGGTCGTGCTTAGCACGGGCCTTTAAATTACCTAGTATATATATATATATATATATATATATATATATATATATATATATATATATATATATATATATATATATATATATAACGACCCAAAAATCCAAAATAAAAAATTTCATTTTTAT